GTGTGCGACATGCTGCACAAGCACCGAAATCACCGCCGCGCTGGCCGTTGCGTCCCGGTGTCATGGTACATGTCAGCAGTGATACCAAACAAAATCTGGAAACTAATCGTATGACACTGCGACCGCACACACTGACAACACAACTATCGAATTTGACAGCGGTGACATCTGTGACAGCGGCTGAGCGTAGCACTGTTTCAAGCGACACACTAAATGCATCTGGCTTCTCAGCGGCCACCACACAGACAACACTGCTCAATCCATCCACACAAACGGGGAATTCTGTCACCACTAATGACGCGTCTATAGATGTGGTTCGCAATGGCGACGACGCTGCTCTTGGACTTGACAATGCCAAGCAAACGTCAACGCTTGGTCGTTTTAGCGTGAAACGCGCGGCTGGCGTGGGTAGCGATGAGCCCAGCGCCAGTGCTTTCACACAGACTTTGCCACATAAATTTGGCAATTCAGCGCAACTGCCGACGATGGCTTACACCAGCCACGAAGTTCAACTGAATAATCAGATTTTTGTAGTGCACATACCGCAACCACAAGCAGAGAGCGAATGCATACCGTGCGTTGGCGCGCTTGCAGAGGACACATCAACTACTGCGAATACGATTGAAACGGAAGCTACGGTGCAGTTGGAAGTTGACAGCACAGAGCGTAGTGGTGAAGGCGCAGAGGTCTGCGGCAGCATGCAAAAACGGGTTGGCGCGCGGCGCTTAGGTCGCGTGGAAAAGTTTTTGACAGGTATCTTCAAGCGACGCGGTGCCGGCGTTGATATGACGCGCGACAGCCAGCGCAGTCATGTCGGCCTGCTTGGTGGTATGTGGCAGGCGCGCGCGGGCGTGCTGTGGCAACGCCGTGCGGACGGCACAGAAACGTCGGAAAAGACGCTATTCGCCCCAGCGCACCGTCTGAAGGGCATTCGTTGCAGCGGTAGTGGTAATAAATGAAGTCTCACTTCTTTGTATTTAAGTTTTCAGTTGATTTGCGAATATTTTCATTTTGCTTTGTATTCTTATCGGGTATCTGTTTTTTAATTTTTGTATGGCTTGATTAAACACACTCATCACTCAACAACAACAACATAAATCCACAACAAACGCACTCACCACTTGTAGTCACGTATAAAAAGTCGCCAGTACGCACTTTGCCAGGTGAAAATGCTGTCGCCACGTGTAGCCGTAGCGGTAATTGTAACAACAATAGCAACAAAAATAATAATAATAGCATCAGCAATCACACTTGCATGCCGCTTAGTACTGTTGCGACCGCAAACGCTAGTGCTGCTGAGTTTAATGTAAACACCACCGCCCCAACCGCTTCTAATATAACTACTACAGTCAAACCAACAGTCACAGTCGCAGCGACAGCACTGCCACTACAATCGCCTCCAGCTATGCGGCCGCTTATGCAGCCACCAGCCAACAGTCCCCGATCACCTGCCTCTGTGACATTTCAAGTGCCTTCATACGACAAGACGGCAGCGAACATTCCAAGCATAGCGACGGCCACCAGCAGCGCGAATGGGATCGCCAGCGGAAGCAACAGCAACAGCAGCAATACTACAACGCCAACATGTGGACCACTGCAACAGCTACACCATGGCATATTGAAGAGTCTTACGCCACCGCCACGGCCACCCCCGCCTTTCAAAGCGGCGCCGCCGCCCTTGCAGAAACGCAATGTGGCAAATGTGACGCCGACAAAGGTAGAGCGTGTACAAAGTAAGAACATATTCATAACATGTACACATCCACTCATATATCATATTTATTTCATGCACATACATCATACACACCTATATACTCGCATTTATTTACCTAAAATTCAATATTTGCATACTTTTGCTAAAAAAAATTGTGTTTTTCTTATGAATACATTTATTTACATAAGTATTTGAGGTTATGTGTGTTGTGCGTACTGTAACCGAGTAAGTTCGTCGTGCCACAAGTTCGTTTACAGAAATGTTAGTATTTTTCTCGTTATAAAGCAAATGCTGCTTAGTTTAAGAACAATTTTGATCGCTGCAGTTTCAGCTTAATCTGAGAACTCCAATAATTAATTAAGAAGTAATTTAAGAACCAATGAAACCTCTCTCTTTGTATGAAATTTATAATTTTAAATACTGCTGCCAATTTTGCCCTTATCATTCTTAATCATTAATCCAATAAAAGAGAGCTAGTGTTTTCTCTTCATATTATTAGAAAGTTACCTTACGACATCATCTCGGCCAACGGCGTTATGTTCTTTGTTATTCAATAACGGTTCTCTCATGGAGAGAGGGAGAGAAAATGCAAGTCAATACAGATCAGGGATAGTATTAGATAATTTTCAATTGTGCCGATTTAAGTGAAGAAAATGTGCGAAAATATAGCTGAGAGTGCCAAAATTAATCAAGTTCGAATAAATTTTCTATAAAAAATTTTTATTTCAAACAATTTATTAACATAAACATCGAATAAAGCCTTAAGTCTGAATTAAGGCGGCACATGTCTTGGGTAAGCTAATTAGTTTCGACATTTCGTTTTAATTAAATTTTGTAAATTTTGCCCCGAAGGATAAAGTAATTTGCTTCAAGTAAATAGACACAGAAAGGTCGTTAAAAAAAATAATGAGAGACAGTTGAATGTATACATTGCTTGCTTGAAACGATGTCGAGGTTCTAAACAACCGAAATCTCTTTTCAGCTTTAGGCTATTGTCGGCTTTTGATGTGACTTCTACACATTCTTTTGTCAAATTCGACATCGTTGAAAACCAATATTGGCCAAATAAAGCAGATATATGAAAGCAGTAATATGAAAATAGGACACTTCGAAAAGCTTGAATAAGCTTCAACTTTCACAGAGAACGCAGTTACGACTTTCATAAGTAAGGTTAAGCGTTAATCAGTTTCAACGCGGAACAGTCATTTATTATTGATTTCTTTTAAACGAAAGCTTCTTAGCAGCCACGATACTTCATACATATCATAGCAATATCAAACTTCCAAATATCTATAAGTAATCACATTTAATAAGCATATCTTTTCATAGCACAATTATTAATTCGACCTTTAATTTAAAAACAAGGAAATAAAAAGTTTAATATAAGCGTTTTAAGTACAAGGTGCAATTCAAAAGTTTCAGGACTTTTATTAAAAAACGAATATTATTTGTTTTTTTTTTTTTAATTTATTGGTCGCCTTCAAAATAGTCTCCTTCCGCCTGAATACAACGTTTTGCACGTTCAAGAAGGTTACCGAATGACTTTTTTAGGTCATTTGTCGGTATAGCGTTGAGGATGGCGGTCGTCGCCTTTTGGATGGCTTTCATGGCCAAATGTAGTTTTTCGAACAAATAAAAATCGCAGAGTGCCATATCAGGCGAATAGGGTGGATGGTTGATGATATGAATGCGATTTTTGGTCAAATTGAATGTTGAATTCTGAGGTCTTTTTCATGTTGTTTCAAAGTGTGCGGAACAAATCGAGCACAAACATTTCTGAGACCCAAATTTTCCGTCAAAATACGATAAATCGACGCTGCGGATATTGATAATTCCGATTCCATATATTTAAGCGTTAATTTCGGCCCTTTTTTAAATGAATTCACGCACAATTTCCGTGTTTTTTTCGTTCACAACATCTGGCCGGCCCGAACGTTCGTCGTCTTCCAAGTCCTCCCGTCCCTCTTGGAAACGTTTAAACCACTCGTGAATACGGCTACGGGATAGACAATCATCGCCATAAACTTGTTTTATCATTTGATGAGTTTTTGGTAAAAGTTTCACCAAGTTTAAAACAAAACTTAATGTTGGTTCTTTGTTCCATGCTCATTTTCCGACCGACACTACAAATGTAATGTCACATGTAGCGCGATATCTCAGTTGTTATACAAGTCAGCTGTTATATAAGTTTTATACGACAACACTGAAGAATACATAATTGAGGGATAACAATTTCAGACAGATGGCACCACTAGAAGCCCCGTTGTTTAAAAAGTCCTGGAACTTTTGAATTGTACCTTGTAAATCAGCTTTAACGAGGTTCATAGATTAGATAATCTTTTCATAGTCAAAGTAGAGAGTGCGTTCTTTTAAGTGAAAGCTTAAGGAAAGTTTTCCTCTCATTCTTAATTCATTTGAATTTCATACATTGCATAGCAATATCAGCTTGAAAACAATCAAAATTTCACATTTATTAAGTAAACTATTTCTTAACACAAACTTCAATTTCGAACTAACTTAAAATCTTCCAATTTCAATATTATTATACATAATTAAGTAATACTGAATGTTTCATCGTGTGAAGTCCTTATTTAACAACTGTTCACAAGTAAGCAATTTTTACTTAATAAAATATGATTTTTTTTTATGCTAATTCACTTGATTTTTCGTCATTGTTATCAATGTTGTGACATTTTATTTGCCCCCTAACATTTAATGCTTCAGTTTATGGCCAGTCCTGCCAATTAATGTTTTTGACTTTTAATGTCGCGCTATAATATTTTTTGCCTGTCATTTTTGTTACCTATAAATGTCGCGCATGCCACTTTATGTTTTAAATCTTGTATCATATTTCCCTAAATGGTTCACACTTTAGTGAAGTAATATATATTTTTATATTTTATATATTTTTTATAACACTTTGAAATTGTGATTACACATAGTTATACATATATTTTTTTAAGTTTATGTAATTCTAATTTAAGTTAACTTTAAGATTTTTTTAAACCAATTAAATTTTTTTTTTTAATATCTTCAAGCCCTATTAAACTATAAATCCAGTCAAATTAAATTTTTAATTTAATTTAAAAAATTTTTTTTTTTAATTTCATTTCCAATTTTTTAACCGTCTGCGTTCATCTTTTATTTTATGAAAATGACAAATCTGCTGCGACCAAAATTATACTACGAATTCGAATAAACAAATGCAACACTATAAATGCGTATTAATACGACGAACGTTTGCAAAAAATCTTGTAATAAATAAAAAAAATACCATAAATAATAGTACAAGACAAGTCATCTTCACTGGGGGATCCATTGACGGAACCTGGCGAGTATGAGAATCTACCATTTCATGGTCTGCAAACGGCTCCTAACAAGGTACTTGTATATTAAACATTTCAATATATAAAATTAATTATAATTACGTAAATAATGTTCATCACATGACATTACATCACATCACATGATAGAGAATTATATATTATCACATCATCACAACATCAAATCGCTCTTAAGCACAAACCGCACACGCGTTACACTAACGTAAATCACGAACATCACATACATACAAACATATGTGGCAAACCTGTCACGTTAGCCGATTTATAGGTCGTAGAAACCTTTTCTTTTTTTCAGATATGAATTTAAAAACTCATTAGTTGTATCGATGTAAACTGTTGCTTATTTTTCATATGCTAAATTGTAGCACATTTGCCAGAAAAACACACGAAATTCTCGTATAAATACGTGTTTGACTATAAAACTGAGTAAAAATTAGTATTTGTTTATTCTGAATAAGCTGTTCTGTTGTGAAATGTATTTGTTGTAATGCATCTGTTTACATTTGGTATATTAATATATAATTTTTGTGAAATTTTTTGCTATATTATTTATTAAACTCATGTTTGCACCATATTTCTCATAATTTCATACTTTCTAGTTTTAATTAGAGAAAATCAAGAATTTAGTTTCATTTCTGAAAAAATGTGATTTTTGCCATTTTTGCGAATTATTTGTGAGTGCTTTATATTTTTTTGTGCTATGATGTATTTAATATTCAAGCTCACATTTTGTATATATTTCTATCTGTACTTTTTCCTTCAGTAGTATTAAGACTATAATTAATTTATTATTTTATATTTGGGCACTAGAACTACTTAAAGTTCTTCCACTATTTATTAGTTATTTGTTTATTCTCTAACTGTTTAAGTATTTTTAAACTTATTTAAAGCTGATTTTTGGGGTATATAAAACTTTATATAAATTTTTTTAAAACTTAACACATATTGTAAATATTAAAATTAATTTAATGGATATTATGCTCCATCCATGTTTTAGCCTTTACTTTTAATTTGTGATTTAGCAATAAATATCCTTATGAGTACTATAACCCAAGAGGTTAAGTAAGATTAATAGTGTCTAACTTCGAGAGTTTATAATTTATTAGATATTACATATAAAACTTAAAATCTGTGCTATTTAATGACTCATTCAATCATGAATAGATATTAGAAACCAGTGGTTGCAACGTCAATGACTTGAAGCTTAATACTGCCTTAGAGTACCCAAAAATACTAGCTGTCATCGATTCGCCAATCATTTGAGAGTATTGGCTTAAGTTAACAGTTTTTGTTTAATAACAAGATTTCTATTGTCATTTTGACACTTATTTCATATTTGAGCCATTTACAATAGTAACAAGAAAAAACGTTAACTTCGGCTGCACCGAAGCTATAATACCCTTCACATACACAAAAATTCCTTACATGCACTTTGATTGGTCAGTTTGTATGGCAGTTACTTATATACTATAATGAGAGGGTCTGAACCACTTTTCATTGATTACACCACTGCCTTAGATAATAATTCATGACAAATGGACGGCTAAATTGGCACGTCATGCTGATCATTTATATATGTGAAATATATATTTTATAGGCATTTCCTTTCTAGTGCTATAAACTTCGTGCAAAAACTTATATACCCTGTTCAGGGTATAAAAACGTAAAATCTGTAACAGAAATCTGGATAGCTCTTAAAGAAGCGATCACACTACTTTAACAAGATATTCGCATAGTGCTTTGAATCGAACTCAGTTTACTAAAGTTGTTGTTGCTTTTAAATGTAAATTTTTTTTTACAAGAGAGCAAGGCCAAAACAACGAGAAGAGAATTGGGGAATCGATAATACCTCTTCTTGATTTTTGCTTCATGAGATTTTTATGTAAAAAAACCAGTTTATGATTTATTCTGAATTCATAATTTATGTCTTTAGGGGTAGGATCTGTAGTTACTCCTTTATTGACTCCTCTATGTCACTAGGTATAAACATTAACTGTTATTAGTTCAAAATACTAATAGTAAAAACGTTCTCTCTTTGAGTCTATTTAAGAATCATATTATAGTTCCGAAATGAGTCTGTGCAATTATGAAGTATTATATCGCTTTTTAAGCGTTTTGATTTCCAAATATTTCATAGTATATATACTTGTATAACATATAAATCAAAAAACTCAATTGCCTTACACTACCGATGAATACTATGCAGAAAATTTCTACCGATTATCGAGTCTATTTGACTTAGCAGTGAGGAATCACAGGTAGATTAGACGTAACGCTGATTCTGTTGCTTTAGTATTACATATGAACAAACATCTTACTACGTGACATGATCGCTTTATTCGCGAGCAACACCTTCTCTAGATACTTACTTTTAAGGCGTTGGTATTGGTCCATGTTTTAAAGTATATCGTCTGATGAGTTGTTTATGAAGATGATATTATTGTATACATATTGTCTCACCCTAAGGGACGCCACAGAATTCATTACTCAATAAAACCGTTGCTGTTACCGTTAATAAAGACAATTTCAAACCACAGCCCTGTGGCCACTTTTCCCAAAACCTATCTTAAAAATAGCTGATGCAATGTTCAGTTAATACGCAGTTCATTTCATAAGCTCCTTAAGGCCAACAGCATTGGTATCATAAATTATATAGGGATTTTAAGAATCCCCAAATATTCTAAAATTATTTACAGTACCTTTCAAGGATTATCGACAATCAATTCATCTTATGCAGTAATAGAACTCCACTTCAAACTGTAAATTCACTTCCATTAAACTTTCATCTTCCATTACAATTATATTATTTTATATAGAAAACCACTAAATTAATGTATCTAGGTTTTAATGTTTAATTGTTGTTAATTTTTATACACCAATCACCATAAATTTCTAACATTCTTTTTTTTATTAAGAGAATTTATTTAAATTTCTTAGCAAAATATTACAGTTCTTCACAATCCTAAATTTTAGCGCTGTAACTAGTTCTCAATTTATATGCTAACATAACTGGCTAATAATACTCGAAATTCAATGCATAACAAAAACTAATCCAAAGCATTCGTCTGATTTCTTTTCGCTCTCCCGTATGTAACACGCCTCCGCTTCCATAAATGTAATGCAAAACGGAAACAAACAACAACTAAAAACATGCAATCAACCGACTAAATCCCCACTAACCACCAACACCCTGCATACGCCTTCCTGTATATTTCCAACCGCACACACTCGCAGTTCTCTACGACTCTTACAAATTTTAATAACAACACCAATGTGGTGCGCGTTGCTCCACGACCCAAGAGACTCAATGGAAATATTGGCCCGCAACAGCACCAGCTGCAGCAACAGTACGAGCAGGACCAGTACGACCAGCAATTTCAATATCATCAACACCAACAGCATCATCAACAACAACATCAATACAATACCATGCAATATGTCGGTGCCGGTGGACGAGTGATAACAACGAATCCCCAACAGCAGCAATCGCACACAATGAATTCCCACAACAAAAGTATGCTGTCTCTTCATCAACAACATCAGCAGCAGCATATGCCGATATCAACTGCCGACGGCACCAGCGGCAGCGTCAGCGGCGGTATGATTGGGGCAGGCAATACAGATCCTGGTGGCAGCGGTTATATGAACGGCAATGTCGGCGGCGGCGGTGCACCCCATCAAATTACATACAATCTGAATAATTGCTTTCCGAAAAGCTACACAGAATATTATCACCAGCAGCAACAGCAAAAACATAAAAATGGCGCCTCGAATAACACTTCCAGTGCTCAATTTTTAAATGGCTTCGAACATGAATACCCCAGCTACACGGTGGTTGAACGCAACACCGCTGCTGCTAGCGCCACCGATATGGGCGGCATAGGTGGTCAAAGTCCGCGCGCTGGTTCAGCACCCACCCCAGCTGCAGTCAGCACCAACCCCTTCTTGGCTATCAACAATTTTAAAAAATATGACACCAGTGGTTACACGACGGATAATGTGTATCAGCCGCACATACTGAACATAACTGGCAGTAGTTCGATGCAGCGCAGTGGCAAGCGGAAACCCATGCTAGATGCCAAAATAGAGGATAAGAAATTCTACTCGCTGAAATTCACCGGTGTTGGCGGTAAGAACAAGGCACCGCATGTGGTCCACAAGTCGCCGGCGAGTGGTTTGTTGAACGCGTCCATGATTTGGCACGGTGGCAGCAGCAACAGTGGCAAATGTAAGCGACATCATTCTTTTGCTGGTGGTAGCATTGGCGATATTGATTCCGCCGGCCCGGGCGCCCAACACAACACCCACCAAGTGAAATCTTCGGCTTTAATGCGCTTCTACGACCCGCCCGCCTATGAGAACTTGGCTGGTGACAACACGGCCGCAGTGCAGGTACACGAGTGCGCCGTAGAGGCGCATTCATCGCCTGCCGCTGGTGGTATGACTGGCACGGCCACCATATTGCTACATCCGCAGCCTACGGCTAGCGGCAGCGGCGTAAGCAGCAGTCATGCAACGGCTGGACAAACGGGCCACAAGAAAAAACATCACCATCGCCAACACCAGCAGAAGGATGATTTCAATTTGATCGAACCGGAACGTCTGAGCATCTATCGGAGCGATTCGGGCATTTCGAACAGTTCATATGAGTGCGTTACGTCGGGGCCACCACCGCCGGGTAGCACGCTCACCGCAAGTGCTCTGAATGGCACACCGCCACCAAAAACACCAAAAGGTAACAAATTAGCGAAACACCCGTCCACTGTTAGTAGCGGACCCAGCACTGGCAGTTTCGTCAATGGCGCTAATTGTAAGAAGTCCGTTCGTCAACTTGGCGGCAGTAAGTGCAACATTGCGAACGCTACAGCTAGCGGTACCTCGCTGCCCGTTTATATGAATGTGGATGGTCAGCATGTAAGCACGTTCGAACGCTCATGTTCGCCCAGTTCTAACTTAGTCAATTCCTCGTATGAGTCGGCTTCGTCTTCACAAAATGACGGCCATGGCGGTCATGGCTCAACAGATCCGACGTCCATGTCCTCATGCAACTCGTTGCAAAGTAGCGGTACCGGTACTCTAATTGGCGTGGCCCCGCTAATGAAAACGGGTGCAGGCCTAACGGCTCCCCATTCTGGTCTGCATCAAAAACCCGCCGAAATTACAACGCCGGAGGAGTACGAACAATACCAGCTGGGTCACCACCGCCACTCTGCCTCCTCGCTTAGTGCAGCAAGCACGGTGAGTGCCAGTGGAACGCGTCGTTGTAAAAAACAACTAATCATGTTAGCGCCAGCGGTATCTGTTACAGGAAACGAGGTTGGTATCTTTGTTGTACTAATGCTTTAGCTCTTGTTTAAAATAGATCTGTGAATCTGTATCTAAAAAATATTATTATTATTATTATTTAATTATTTTGATATTTACGTACATTTTACAAAAATTACATATTTTTCTAATAATTAAACTATGAATACATAGTTATAACAAACGTTTTTTGCTAGGTATTATCTCATTGGTCCTGTATAGTTCTTCATCTGTTTATAGACAGCTCTTCATATATATAAAGAAAAGAGAATGTTAGATCGATGGTTTCTTGCTTTAACTATGTTGTCCTTGTTGTCACAGATACAGTCGATCTGCGACGAGCTTTGATCTTCGGACATGGACAACGGCTTCCTTTTGCTACTGAGTTTAACTGTTGTTTGCATTACCCAAAATATTTGAGTTCAACAAAGATATATATATATATATATTGTATAGAAATGATCAAGATGACGACACGAGTTGAATTTCGAGTAACTGTCCGTCCGTGCAGTGATAACTTGAATAAAAATTTGGATATTGTTATGAAACGTCGTACACATGTTACTTGGCACCCCAGTAGGGGTGGCATTGCAGATAGATAGAATCGTTCCCAGAAAACGCCATTAATCGAAAATCTATAAAGTGCCATAATCCAGCCTTCTAATAGGTTTAATGTACATATCTTCTTAACCACTAAAACTAAAATAAGCAACTTCGCTCAATACAAATCTTTTTGACACCCCCACTGAAAGTGTGGGAATGGATGAAATTATATTATAACTCCCCACATAACAGTTTTTTTTAAATACTGAATGCGTCAGAGACATGCAGATTTGGCACAACGAATCTAACTAGAGAAAAGCACCTGTGGTTTGAAAATCTTGAAAAAGTGGGTCCCACCCACTATTAAGTTTAATGAATATATCTCATATCATTCTTACAATATTCGTACGTTACGGTGCGAAAATTGGCAAAATCGGACTAAAACCACGCCTAATTTCCATGTAAAACAATTTTAAATTACATCTGATTCTTTCACTTTCCAGTATACAAATTAACAACAAATGAATATATTGTGAAAAACTTTGCACGAATAGTTCGTTTAAGATGTGCCACTTTAAGACCAAAAATTCACAAAACTGTACGAGCCCCCCCCTTACTTGATTAGTATTAGCTTTGGATTTGCATTTAACTGTTTCAACAAATATGCAAGGTCAAGTAAATCTCGCCTTAATTCAAAATTCAAGAGAAACAATAGTAAACAGTAAAATATTGTAATTATTGCATTATGGGTGTAAAATATATAAAATAAATAAAGTTTATTTAAAACACTTTTATTACAGTTTGTTATGATTGTATAAAATTTTTTTATTTACTTAATTTGTTATTTGTTTTTCCATTCCATATTTCGTTGTTTATTTGCGCAAATCTTCAACATCATCTTTAATACTGGTTCTTGCAACACCTGCCGATTCATATGCTTTTTACGACCTTATATTCGTACACAAATATATATGCGCGTTTTTTAATGTGTTGCATGCTACAATTAAACTGACAATTATGTGTTTGCTTGAAACCCCAATAATCCTAAAATACTAACTAACAGCATTATGCTATTGGCGTCACTAATCCATTTCTAGCAAGCGAACGCGATGTCACAGCGACCGGCTGCGCTACCAACGCCACCTCCTCCGCCGACGGGTACAGTTCCCCCGGCAGAGATAAGAAACTACGACGAAAGACTATCAGCGACCCCTACGCACATATCCGTTATATCAGCTACAGCAGAAGCGCCGCCAACAACAACAGCAACAACGGCGCAGCCGACTGCCAAGCACATGCCCACAATTATCGGGCCAAATGTGCGAACAATGCGCTCGAGGCAGCAACAACAGCAGCAGCAGCACATCATCAGCAACAGAAAGTTAAATTACAACAACAACATGGCAACAACAATAGCTGCAAACATCAACAATCATTGCTAATCCCGCGAAAATTGCGCAACAACAACAAAGAACACGGCAACAACGACGATGAGGATGTTGATGAGCACAACAACAAGGATGTTGCAATGTTCCAGCAGCCACGAAGCAGATTAGTACCTTTAGGTGGTAATGCTGATGAGAGAAATATTGTTGATGTTACTAAGAAGACTGCCACTACAGAAGACCGCACGTGTGTCGAGAATGTTGCTGGTGGGGCTGATGTCAGCGCGGAAGCAATGCTGCCATATATCGACGATGTTCAAAGTGCAGAAACAACAACAGCCACATACGCCGCACACGGCGATTATCTACCACGTCGACCAGTTAAATTGCCGCTACGCAAATATCATACTTTCCACTTTCAGCCTTCGCAAACGGTGGCCGGCACACTACGTCACTGCCAATTTCAGCAATTACGTATTCAAATGCAACACAAACAACCACTACAACACTACAAGCTACCCGCACAACAAGCAGATAATGCCGAGCTTACGACTCCCGGCCAATCTCCAACTACCATTATTGCCGAAACTGCCGCCGCAGCACGTCCAACTAGACGCTATGCAACCGAAGGTGGACCACTCGTTTTCCGGCCGCTCTCCTGGCACGAGCAGTGCACCTTCAAGCCAATATCATCCCCAGTTGACGCTGCTGAAGCGCCAGTCGTCCACCCCATGATAACAGAAATACCGTTAGAGAAAAGACGCTCAGAGGAGGAAAAAGAACAGCCGGAATTGAGCGAAGAACTTTTAGACGATATCAAACAAATCACTAGAAGTGTACAATTACAACATGTAAGCCTTAATCCTGCCGCTTCGCTGGAGGCGCTCGAAGCACTTACCAAACACCATCCCGAGTTAATTTATGTCACCAAACCGGGCACACGTCAGAATCTGCACAAGCAACTTGCACTGCCGGAACAGTGGAAGAACCAACTGGACGTTGAAAATTACCCAACCGCTAGCCAAACCTCTTCACAGGACTACACCGCAGCGCGAAGTGATAGTAACACTAAAGTGGACGAAGTCGCCGCAAATGCTACGCTTGACGCTCAGTGCGACGAAGAGGAAGATCTAGGTTATTCTTTCTGCGAGGACGACAATGAAGATGAAGGCATTGAGGAACTAGTAGGCGAGGGTGTTGAAAGCAGAGAAATTGAAAGTGCTGAGGAGCAGCGCACAATCATTCATACGTCGGAGTCGCCACGTGTGGTACTCTCTGCGGGGCGCAATGGTGGTCACGTGAAATACATGCTGCGGCAAAGCTACCGCGAAGTGCATATTTAGTTGCCACAAGCAACGTGCCCTTTCTGATATTCTAAAGTTGGATTACAAAGCGCCGCCAACCAGTCAACATTAATAACTGTAAATAAATACCAAAAATTCCAATTTAGTTTAAAGTGCATATTGTTCTGCTCTGGCAACAAGCGCCCATGCAAATAAATTAAATCGAGTAAGTACGTGCATTGAGTTCTAGTTATGTGTAATTACTTAGTTGTAACTGCATATATATACATACCCAGCTGTAGGTAAATGACTGTCGACATGTTAAGTTTGTTGGTACTTTTCTATCCAAATACAGATAAATAAAAATAAAATCAAATACAATTAAGGTTTAGTCTTAACATAAAACCAAATTAATCTAGTATACGTACATGTACGTGTATTTAAAATATTTATGGTATGTATAATTATTGTGTAAAATATTAATGTTGCCACATTTTTTGTACACAACCCAGGCAAAAAAGTTCATTAAAATAGGATTTTTTGTAGAATCAAAAGTGCACATGCATACTTAAATGTGTACTTTTGTATACGCAAGCTACAGTTTCATATAATTTTAATAGAAGAAGCCACAATTTAGTCAATAAAATACCCTTATTTACTTAACAAATTAAATATTAAAATATTTATTTATTTACATAAATTAAAACATTAAAATACTTTAAGATCAATTGTTGGTACATTAATTTTACATAGTTAACTATTTATTTCCTTATCGTCTAGCCAATTATCAATTTTTATAAGCAAATGCCTTGAACTCAGTATACTGTATGAAATTAAATAATAATTTTTCACTAAAATTAATACTTTATGAATTCACTTATCGTAAGTCAATCTGAAAAAAAACGTTTCAGTTCAAAAATAACAATAATAATTTATTTACAATTATCGAAAAATATTCAAATAGGTTCAACTACCGTTATTTACATATTTAATTTTTTACTATATTTTTTATTTGAATTCTTTAAACTAATTTAATTTTTATCAAAAATACCAAAAATTTAACTTTTTATGAATTCTTGTATTTCTATAAGTTATTTTGTTAAATTTTTGAGTACATAAATTATGCTACATAAAAAACGTAACAATTATTTAAACCAAAAATTTAAGTATTTTAAATGCAAAATCCAATCTAGTAAATTCCCAAATAAATTTTATAATTCAAATTTTCTAGTATTTTAATTTAATGATTTAAATTGTTTTACAATTCTTCTTTTACAAATAAAACCATAGTATATATATAAAGTAATTTTTTAATGTCCATTATTTACAGACACAAACATATTCGTATTTACTGTTCTACTAATTATTTGAAATAAAAATATCTACCAAATCAAACTCTGCTACTGAAGCAATTGCACAGTTATACAAAATTAAACCCTAGAAAACCTAAATAAGGTCAGACGAAGTTTCAAATATCTATTTCACTGTTCTTGAAACATAATTTTATAACGTCGATTTTGATTAGGGGTAATTACTTTCGTTAGCATTGGTATATACTTGTACTTTCGCTAGTTAGGTTATGTTATAAATATTGGTATAGACCTTGTCTTAAGGGGGTGTTCTAGTGTAGAGACATGAATTTTAGGTAATTAATATTTTTACAGTCGACTTTTTTTATCAGTTATTTATTAATGTTACAAGAGTACAGAAAAAAATTTAAAAAACAACCAAGTAAGGAAGTTCTAAGTATTGGTACAACCGAGCATTTTATACTCTCGCAACTTGCAAAGTTCCCAGCCCGGGAAATTACTTTAGGTGTTGGCAAAATTTTATATTAAAGGAAGTACTGATCCGATGCAACCCATTTTTGACACAAAAATATACCATCATCGAGAGTTTCATTTATTTATTTTATCATATGAAGTTCAATTATATATCTTAACTGATATATTCGGTAAAAAGTCAACTATAGGCACTGGGGTCCACATATTCAGTACCTAGAGGCTTGAACAGTTTTAGTTCGATTTAGACAATTTTTGGTCACAAGGTGGCATACTTTAAACGCATTATTCAAGTTCTAAACCGCTAAAGTTATCGTTGCTTGATTTGCATAGTGAAAAGTAAAAGAATCAGATGGAATTTAAAATGGTGTTATAATGGAAATAGGCGTTGTTGTAATCCAATTTCGGCCATTTTCGCACTATAACATAAAACTATAAGAGGAATGTTATGCACCGAATTTGGTTAGAATCAGTTAGGCAGATCCCAAGATATGCGTTTTCACCTAAAAAAGGGCTGTGCCACGCCCACTGTCTAATTTTGAACGCGGTTCCTATAAATTCATCTCACAGCTTTTAACAGTACCGTTATGTGAGGAGTGGGCGGGGTTGACACCCAATTTCATTCATTTTCACACTGTCGATAGAGGTGAAAAAAATGTGTTCTCAGTGAAGTTTGTTATTATAGCTTTACCAATTTAGGAGTTATGCACATTAAACCTATTAGGGAGGGGAACTAGGTTCACTTTTTAAAAAAATATTAAGTTTCAGATGCCCCTCTCTAATGTGAACCTGTATACCAAATAACAGTCTTGTATCCTATTGTGGAGCTTAGTTATGGAAATTTATCTGTTTTTCATTAATGGCGTTTTGTGGGCGTGGCAGTGGTCCGATTACACCCATCTGCAATATCAACCGTCAAAAGGTACCAAGAAATATGTGTACCAAGTTTCATTTGGACGGACGGACAGACAGTCACCCGGATTTCAACTCGTATCTTCATCCTGAACATTTATATATATATATATATATATATAAACCTATATCTAACTCTATTCGTTTTAGGTGATACAAACAAGTAAATAATTTAAAATGTTTGCAGCTGATGAAGTGGGGGGTCTCAAAAAATTGGCGCATGACCATGCCCATGATTTCAACCCTCACTTCGAATTCCATGACTCCGAAAACCCCCAGATACGAAGTTTAAGCAAAAACGCTACACAAAAAACAAGGTTTACAATGTTTCATTGATACTTAAATCACTTTGTAGACCTTGAAACTTCAACTGCGTGTAACAAAAAACTGAGACGAATCAGTCTATTACTTTCTTCGGATCAAATGATCAGTACAATCTCCTCTTTCCGAAAATTTTTATCTAATCACTGCGGAAAAATGCATGTTGTACTGTGTTATTCAAAAAGTCACTATTTTGCATACAAAAGCTCTCTATGTGCAAAAGCTTTACCTTAATGTTTAGAGAAATTGTTTTATATACTATTATAAATTGTTCGAAATATTTTTGTCGGGACGGTATAAGTATAATAACTTCATAATTGACAATTTCAAAGAGTAGCCTTAAAAGCCCATTTCTATGGTAAAAAACATGAGAGGTTTTGATGAAAAAAATTAAAAATTAAACCCTTTACAAAACCATCTATATTTGTAAAATCGCTTACAGTCCTTTAATTTTTTTTTTATTGTATTAAAAACGGTAATATACCAATACAGTACAATTATAATATTAATGAGTTAGTTCACAAGCTTTAAGCTTTAAATTAGAGAATATGTTTAAAAATTATTAAATGAAGATTCGTGAGAAGAAAGATACTTAAGTATGTTTAAGGAAACAACTATTAAAATTTTAATTTTTAAATTCGATTTCCCTTACCACTCAACAATGGCAAAAATTCATATTTTTCATGCAGATATTTCAGCATAAGATTTCTGTTGCTCACTTGATTTGCCATATACATATAAATGTGACCAATCAACGGAAGATTACATTTGCGAACACTTTTACAAACAATTTCATGCATACACACTTTCGCAACCACAAAATCACATTAATGTTATGAAACTTTATATTTTGTTTAAAAAAACCAAAGAATAAAAAAATAAAAGATTAGAAAATACTGAATATTTTTTTATCTTCGTGTCTCATTGTAGCAAATGTCCGATTTTGAAGATCCCTATAAAGGCAGTAACACGTACATTTTCTAACCCAAAGACGAAAACTATTTTTACAACAAACAATACAAAAATACAAAAAACTAAACAATGATCTTGTACAACAATATATTTCATAACAATGTACATAATTGTCTTTTTACTACAAATATACGTGTTTGACTGTAAACTAAGGTGCATTCAAATGTTGAGATAATTTTGGAAAGGTAAATCGAAATGAAACATTTATTAGCTTGCAAATCATGTTAACAGTAAAAAAAATCAGTAGAATTTCTTTTTTATTGCATTAAAAAGTTTTGGTAACTCTAATTTCATTTAAATTCTCGTTTATTTTTCTGTCGTGAGCTCGCTGTTTTGTATTTTTATTTACTCGTATGTACAGTTATACATACTCTATAAAATTTTTTGTTTAATATGCTTTTTGAGATTTATAATATTATTTGTTGTAATTCAGTTATATTTCGAGATTTATATTCTTATTTAAAAAAAAAAAAATTAAATTCTTGATGTTTTTCTTGTGCATATCTTTTCGGTCTCATATTTCACCAATCATATTCATAACCTTTCGTTGAATACTTTCACCACTCATCCCATTGCTCATATCTACATTTGTTGCATTTTAACTAATCGTATGATAAACATGATATAATATTTACAATTATTTTGTATTTAGTTAAATTGGATTAACATAATATTATTCTATGTTCTTAAAAGTGCACTGCACGACAGAAAAATAAATGACTTGCGAAAGCTTTCAACTTAACTACAAACATTTCGAATATAAGTAAAATTTGCCAATACTAACAGAAACACAGCGCTTCGTTTGTTTTTAATGCAGTTTTCAGTTTCACTTGATGTTTGTTATTGAGTGAGAGCTTTATATAATATATAAGCATTACATTTTTTCTTAATGAGAACTGATCAAAATGCTTTTCCGCGACAAAGCAGAAATGTTCAACAAATTTTAGGCCAAACTTTCTCTCCAGGGTTTTTCCTCTAAAGTTCAAGCTTAGACCCGTTATTAATTGTGATCACTCTGAATATAAATTTGCAATATTTCCATTTGTTAATCGTATATAAAATGGTCAATTTAATGCTTCAAAGATAGAACTCGACTTTCCGTCAAGATTTCTAATGAAAATATAATTTTTTGGACAAATAACAATTGATAGAAGAATTGTTTTATGGGCCTGCCTTCACATATATAATTTCTGGATTTTCTTAGTATACTTGAGGCAATACTACTTCGGAGCTGTTTGCCTATAATAACTGTTAAAACTAACAAGCTTGCAGAAACTGTGAATGCCAATTAAATTTTCTGCTAACAAACTAAACACCACAGAAAATCAAATGACATGTCGAATAATAAATTCTACAATGATAAAAATAAATAATTTTCCTCACAAAATCCAACACTTTAGCCCTTGAGTGCTGCGGAGTTCGATGATGAGCTAATCTATGCCGATTTAGAGAGTCAACACTATGGACCGATCAACTACAAGGCCGCCTCAATTTATGCGCTAGTGAAAAAGGATAAGAAAAACGGTGCTTTGAATGAGGTGAAAAACTGAGAAATTTGAGAGGCAAAAATTGTACACAAAGCCTTTACAACAAAGGGCAAGTGTGCAAAGCGCAAGCGTGGTATACTTACATACATATATGCTCCTTCGCACGTGCTCCATTCAGTCCCTACTTTTTTTTTGCTCAAATAGTGTATTTTAATTTCTATTTTCGTAGCAATGAGTTACTAAATGAAACTAATTTCTTAACAGGTAAAAAATAATAATTTTTTTGTTGGCTTTATTTTTGTAAAATATGTCGGAAATTGTCAAGTGTGAGCTTCTTTTCTA